GTGATCCTGGATCTCAGGCTGGCCTTGAACTCACTACATTTAAGTCTAGGGGATGACTTCGAACTTCTAATCCTCCTGTCTGCATGTGCTGAGTGCTGGGATCATAAGCATGTGTCCCTGTGCTTGGGTGTATGCAGTGCTAGAGATTGAACCCAGGGCCTAGTGGGTTCAAGGGAAGCGCTCTGTCAACTGAGACACACCCAGCCTACGATTCCCTTACTTCTTTTTTTTTTTTTTTTTTTTGGTTTTTCGAGACAGGGTTTCTCTGTGTAGCTTTGCGCCTTTCCTGGAACTCACTTGGTAGCCCAGGCTGGCCTCGAACTCACAGAGATCCGCCTGGCTCTGCCTCCCGAGTGCTGGGATTAAAGGCGTGTGCCACCACCGCCCGGCGATTCCCTTACTTCTAATGAGGTCAAATTACACACTGGCTCTTGCCATTTCCCTGGGGCATTTTAATTCATCCATGTAATGCTAATCACATTTCAATGAACTGATTACAATGTGAATATAACCACAGAATCCAGGAAATGACAGGAATAAACTTACTTTTGCTCTTAAGCAAGCCACACCCAAAACTTGGTAGTTGGCTTAATAGTTTAAGGAATCAACTAATGAAGATGAATTTGTTTTCAAGGACTAGAAAGAGTTTCATGCAGGCCTCAACTGGGCATTTGTAGAAGGGCATCGGCCACAAGGCACATCGTGACTGTGGCTGCCACAGCTGCCACCACTAGCTGCCTTCAGGATGGGAAAGGAAGAAGCAGTTTGTCACGAAGGCACTGGGTGCTTCCTGCTGGCTGTCTGGAGACAGGGTTTGGGGAAGGCATTTTCTCTGGTGGGTTTTGAGGTATGGAAACTGTAAAGGCCACAGGTACACCCACATGTCACCGTGGTGCCTCATTTGGGTTGTCCTGCATCAGCAAAGTATAAGAGCCGAGCACACTTGTTCTTCAACAGCTCCTGTGCTCAGAAAACATGAAGGGGAGCTCAGCTCAGGCACTGGGCACCACACACAAGCAAACTGCCACAGAGCAACGGCCCGCGGGCACCCTGAAGTAGAACTAACAACTGCAGCCTTAGAGTCATGTCAAAATTCAACTGTACTTTTCCAGGTCTCACTGGCCTTTGGAAACCAGACCTACTGAAAGAAACAGGACCCAGCCCTTTGCCTCACCAGGCCGGGTCACTGGTCACATCCCTCTTCTCCTCTCTCACCCTTGTTCTCATTTTTATGTCAGAACACCAAAGGCCCCTTCCTGCACCCACGGCCTCTTGGGAGGTCCTCCACTTCCAGGCCTCTTGCCAGAATTCCTTTCAAGTTTCCGTCACACCGTCTGTGTGTGGACACTGCATGCAACGGCAAACCCACGGCTCATCTGACATAAGCCCTGCCCTTCCCTCGGTACCCTCATCACCACACCACCCCCACAGGGCCCAAGTGCCCAACTCCGTGTGAACAACCTGCTTGTTTCTGCCTTCTGCAGGCTACTCTCATCAGAGCTTCTGCGGCCCTCCTCTGGTCTCCCACCGGCATCTGACAGGCCACAGAGCAGCCATTTCTGGGTCCAGGACTTACTGTCCGTGCCTGAGCTGAAGTGAGCTTCCCAGAAAGCAAAGCCACTTCTATCCTAAGCTCTGAGCTCAGTGGTTCCCCGTGCCTCTTACAGAAACAGGTCTCCACGGCCCCCTCAGCAGCCTGATTCTTCCCGTGTTCCTCTATCACTCACCCTTGTTCTTTTAGTGCCAACGAAAGCCGGGCACTTTGTCCTTCCACCCCAGTGTGCCAGCTTCTCTCACGTCAGCCCTCTTCCACAGCTGATCTCTCCTGGAGTGCCCCCAACTCTCCTATCCCCAGGGCCCTGAGGCTCAACTGTTAGCTTTCTTGTAGTGGTGGTCCCAAGTGAAATAGGGAATCACTATTTCATATTAACAGCTCCATCTTCTTGAGTAGTTTGAAGCATAAACAGGCAGGAAACAGAAGGGCCCCACATACTTCCCCTCCTACCTGTCTCCCCCCAATAACCTCGCCCTAATTATGATGGTGGGTATTCTACTCCTGGTGAGCCAACTTGCACGTTTCTGTTATAGTTCATTGTCTATTAACGGAGTCACATGTGGTGCTGCATATGATGCCGGCCGGAACAAATGCATATTGCCATGTGCCCATCATTAGAGTACCCAGAAGCAGTTCCATTGTCCCCGGAGACCTCTGTGTTCCTCTGGCTCATCCACACACACCCCACCCCAATCTCAGAAACTAGTGCCTAGTTTGACCTTTTTGGAATGTCACATTACATCATACAGTGTGGAGTCTTTCCAGATGGTGCCATTGCCTTGGTGGCACACAGGGTCCCATGTCTTTTCATGCCTAGGTAGCTCCTCCCTTCTTTCCTTTTTTTAAAAGATAGGATCTTTCTGTGTAGTTGACCTTGAACTCACAGGGACCTGTCTCTCCCTCTCCCAAATGCTATAATTAAAGGTGTATACCACCAAAACTGGCTTAACAGCCAGGAGCTTATCTCAGTGCCTAGGTAGGACTTGTTTTCCCAGGGGTCCAGCCTCTCTCCACTCAGAACCTTATTTTGCACCTGGGCTGTCTTGAGCTTGGAAAGCAAGGATTCCGCTGCCACTGGAAAACCCTGTGTTTGGGGACAGAAAAATAAGGAAGCAGAATGGAAGCTGATGTTTCCCGGGCAGTTCACTCCAACATGAAGAGACACAGGGCTCCAGAGCAGAATGTGTATGTGATGAACCAGTACCACGGTGATAAACACCAACATCTGTTCAGTAGTGGGTGAGCGCCAGGCCTGTTCTGTTTCCAGACACAGTTCTTGCTATTTGGTCCTTTATGTCCAGGAAAGTCACCACAGACACTGCTTTGGAAAATACCAAGCTGTTGTTCTTGAACAGAGTCCGTTGGGTCCGGGAGAAACTCTGGTCTCCCATGGTCGGCTGCTCATTATGTAACCTTGCTTTCTTTGTGTTGTGTTGACTGTTAAGGTTGAGCACACAGCTACAGCATTCATGCCTGTGACAGGTCTCTCTAACCGTCTTCCTGACAAGGTGCATCAAAGCCTGTGCTTAGGAGGCCTCGGTAGGACAGAGGGTCCTTGGCCCATCCAATAGTGAAATCACCACCAACAACAAAAAAGTACAATAACGTGGGGCACCAAACAGGGCCTAGAAGGAAATTCTGTTTACAATATGCACTTAAATAGGCAGCCTCACCCACTGGATCTCAGCTAGGATGCTAGGCATCCTAAAATGCGCACCACTCTGACCCTGTCCTTGAATGATCTGGAAAGTGCTACAAAGATCGACTGATGTGGAGCATTAACGAACCCGGAACCTGTAAGTGAGGAGGATCATTTTAGCGTCTTCCCGTTAGTCTCACTAACAGCCCTACAAGGGAGGAATGAACATTATTTTTATCTTTTTTGGGGGGGGGGGGTTGTTTCTTTTTCTTTCTTTTTTTTTTCTTTTGAGAGGATCTCACTATCAGGCTCTGGCTGTCCTGGAACTCATTAGACCAGGCTGGCCTCGAACTGCTAGAGATCTGCCTGTCTCTGCCTCCCAAGTGCTGCATTAAAGGCCTGCACCCCTACACCTGGCTTATTTTCACTTTTGAAGCCAAGGTTTATGATGACTTGTCACGAACTCTACAGTTACGTGTGTGTGTGTGTGTGTGTGTGTGTGTGTGTGTGTGTGTGTGTGTGTATGTTCCTAACTCGGCAGCTTCTCCCCAGAGTCTACGCTCTTACTCATTTTATTACCCACTCCGTGGATCTAATACATTTCGTGTACCACTATTCTGAAGACACGTTTGGCTTTTGGGTACCAGAAACAATAAAGCCTTCACATAACTCTTTGTTTTTAGTATTTACTTTTTATTCCATATCATTCAATTTGCCAGGCAACATACACTTAAAGACACGTGTCTGATCTCTATTCTACATAAGATTTTGTGCATATGTGAACTTCTCAGTCTTAAGAATAACAGACAAACTAGAGATGGCTTCTCAGTCCAGAGGTTCTTGGTTTCCCAGCACCCACATGGCAGCTCACAGGCTTCCCTAACTCCAGTTCCAGGGGATCCTGACACTTTCTTCTGGCCTCTAAAGGCAGTGCATGAATGTGATGCACAGCCATACCGGGAGGTAAAACAAGCATACATATAATTTTTTAAAAAATGACAGAAAAGGGGGGACACATATACATTAAATCAGAACACTAAAGGGTAAATTTTCAGGCAAAACTGGGTTGCTAAGTGGCTTTCTCACCTCTGTGACATATTCTAGGACCCAGCCGTTTATTATTATAATTAACACCTATCATTTGTACAAATTAATGGGTTTCACTGTGACATTCCCACACACTTACACATCACCAGTGTTCATGACCCGCCACCAATTATTTTAAAGAACATACTGACTCCCTGAAATCGGGGTTTCAACTACACGGTGAGTGCTGGCACTTCCATCTATCTTTGGAAGGCAGACTTTCCATTACTACAGACATCAGTTTTGTTTTTTTAATATAGAAGCGTAACTATACTTCAAAGGGAAAACGTATAGACACATTCAAGGAAGATTTTGTTGTACAATCGTTATCTATTTTATGACTTTTCAGAGGGCAAAAGGATGGGCTTTCGTACTTTTATTTTACCTGATCCGATTTTAAGGGAGGCTGTTGGTGAAGGAGTCAAACATTTCATTACCATATCTTCAAACCAAAGCCATCGGGGCAGCAGAGGCACGCAACCGGACACTTCGGTTTTTTGCACCACGCTGGACAGCCAGCCCTAACTTTCAGCCCCTCCTGGTGAACCAGCCAGAAGGAGGAGGAAGAAGCAACACCCACCCGCGACCACGAGCCCTCCGTGGGCCGGGGTGGATGCGCCGGAAGTGACGGGCTCCGGACCACAATTACCTCCCCCCCGCCCCCCCCCCCCAGCCATATAAAGCGCGAGGAGGCGCGCATGCTTGAAGGAAGCGGAAGCCCGGATTTCCGGCTAGCGCGTGGAAAGTGCGGGTTCCGGGCTTCCGGGTGGGCGTGCAGGGCAGGCGAGCACTTAGTGGCCCGCGGGGCAGCCCGAGGACAGGGCCATGGAGAAGCTGCGGCGGGTCCTGAGCGGGGGAGGACGACGAGGAGCAAGGCTTGACGTCGCAGGTAATCCCCGGCCGCGGCGACGGCGGGAGGGAGGGAGGAGGGAGGAGGGAGGAGGGCTGCGAACCGCCCGGGAGTCGCCGCCGAGCGCCCGGGGCTGCCCGTCCGGTCCCACCGCTTCGCTGTGGCCTTTCTCCGGACCCGCAACCGTGTGTCGCTGCCCCCTGCAGTGAGTTCTGGGGCACAGGCCTCGGGGGCCGGGCTGCCTGTTGCCAACCGAGGGATTCCAGGTCTCAGCTTCGCCCTATTTTGACTCTGAAGTTGTAGTGAATGAAATCAGGGCTGGCACCTGGGCTGGAGACTGGGGAGGCGAGCACGGACGTGAAGCTACACCGTGCTAAACGTTGCTTGTGAAGACAGCCCGCCTTAGCAAGGCATGCTTTTTTTTTTTTTAATTAACAGAACCCTGTGCTTGCATGTGACCCAGACATGAAACTTGATAAAGACTCACTTCCTCCGTGAGAGTTTAAAATAGGCACACAGGAACTGCTTTGTGTTTTGTTTGCTAGCACATTTTGGTGTGCCCTGGCCCAGGCGTGGGGCTCTTGAACTTGAGTTCTATTACATGAAGATCTTTTGTTTGTTCCTTTTTCGTTTTCGACTTCCTTCCTTGTTGGCAGGACTGTGAGCGAGTCTGTGTTAAGACAAGCGAAATCTATATTGTGGTGTTCTCTTCTTTTTGAGACAAGGTCTCACTGTGTAGCCCTGGCTAGCCTGGGAATACAGAGGTCCGCCTGAGAACTGAAATCTGGATTGTAATTGCAATACAAAAGCCTATACATAGTAACATCAGGAATGGCAATTCATTTGGCTTATCCAAGTTGCTTGGTAGTAACAACTGTTTCATGCTTCGCTCTTTTTTTTTTTTAATTAAGAAATTTTTTTATTCACTTCACATACCAATCACAGATCCCCCTCTCTGCCCCATGCTTCACTCTTTACTCTAGACCTGTGCTGTAGCCATAACCGCAGGTAGCCATTTAAATTGAAACGTTAAAAATTAAAATGCATTTCCTTAGCTGGACAGCCCAACTTGTAAGTGTTGAGTAGCATGTGGTCAATGGTTGCTGTTGAGATACTGCACATAGGAAAGGTCTCCAATGCAGGAATGATGTCAGACAGTGCTCTTCTAAACTGTGGCCACAAGGAAGTGATCTTGTTGAAGCTGACGGGGGGGGGGGGGGGGGGGGGGGGGGGGGGGGGGGGGGGGGGGGGGTGTAGAGAAGAAATTGATCAAAGGTCAAGGGGCTGGAGGTGATAAGCTGTAAGTGTGAAGTGATTATTCACTCCAGCAGCTCCTCAGGTTACCACATAGTTGGCACTATCAGTGACTTAATAGTGACCAACAGAGACCTCCGGTGCACATAATCTACATCTCAAACAAGGGAACGGGTAGCAAACAAGCATTGAGTACAAACATCTCCCATGTTGGCCTTCAACACGGCTCTTGGGTGTTCTTTGGGTCATTGAAGACTTGCACATTAAAACCCACTAATTTATCCCTTAAAATGGAACTCCGTGAGCCTTGCGGCCCTCTTCTCTGGGGAAATGGATACCCATTTCTGATTCTTTGGCTAAACATCAGTAAATACCATAGTGCAAAAGAAAACCCAGAGGCCCAGAAGTCTGAGATGGAGGGAACTTCAATCTGAGCAGGCCCTGGCTGAAGCCTGAGAGACCATCTCTGGGGAGCAGAGGAAATCCGACCCAAGCAGCTATTGAACTGGCCTCAGGCAAGATTTCTTTGACTACAAAATAAGAATCAGCCCTTCCCTGGAAAGCTCAGTGCACACACACTGTTCCTGAAGTTGCCTGGGAATATCTGGAAGATGGATTGTTCTCACAGGCTCTCAGATTCTAGTTCCTTATAGGCCTGATTCCCTTCCTGTACTCTCAGGATGAAGATTGCTTCTGCTCCAACTAAGTCACTTTACACACCCCACAAGCCCAGGGCTCAAGGCTCGTCAGCAGCTTGACTTCCAGTTCTTCACGTTTGCTGCAAGAAATGTGCTTAAATGTCTTTCTGTGAGGCCAGTAAGGTTGACAACCTCCCCACGCCTCTCTCCAGTGCTGAGATGAGCCTCCCATTATTCCCCTTGGAAGTGCAGTGTTAAGGGCAGATCTGTGATGCTGCCGCGCTTGGTGGAAGACAAGACTTTTTGTGTCACTTTGGCTGGAAAGGTAAAGTGGACAGAGAAGTTTAAGGTCCCCATATTGCATAGGGTAGTCAGCCTCCCTGTTAGGGTGCAGAGCCTAAGAACAGTGGCCTGTGTGTGCCAGGCCAGTGAAGAGACCACGGCGACTGGGACAGAGGGGAAGGGGGACAAGTGTGGAGACAAAGGCTGGCAGGCAGAAGTGGGATTCTGGATCCCATTGCGTCTCCTAGGCTGTGGAGATGGTAGCTTTACTGTGAGGGATGAGCTACTGTATTGGTCATTTTCCTGTCACTGACCACAGTACCTGACAGAAACTATGTAAGACGAGGGAAGATACCTTGTGGTTCACATTTTCAAAGGCTTTAGTCTGTCATGGTGGACGGTTCAGTTCCTGGTACCAGGGATATATGGCAGAGGGTACTCACGTCACAGCTCCAGGAAGGAGAGGCAGAAGTCAAGAAGGATACAACCCTCAAAGGGACCATCCCTTAGTGAGTGACTTCTGCCAACTAGGCCTTACCATCTCAAGTTCCAGAACCTTCCAGAGTAGTAGAGGCTGAAAGTATGAGCCTGTTCTTGAGGGAGATCTCAACTGTGTTGATTCAGTACTTCAGTTTTCTTTTTTTAAGGTTTATTTTTGCTTTATATGTATAAGTCTTTTGCTCTGGAAGATGAGCCTAGCTAAGAGAGAAGCTTGGGTCATTGGAGGAGAGATTAAAAATTCACAATTCGCAAGGGTTGCTTGTTCCAGTAGTGAAGCCATTGGATCAAGACTTGAGATGAGAGACAGCTGTGACTCTCCAAGGATGACAGGTGTAACAGTGATAAGGAACCGGAGTGCAGTGTCATGGTGGCCTTGAAAGTAGTAGGTGTCTCTAGGGAGGAGCATGGCCCAGCCCACGGCTTGTCCTGCAGGGTGTGTGGGGAGAACACAGTCCCCTGGGGGGGTGTGGCGGAAGCTGAAGGATGCTTAGAAGATGCTGAGGACCAGCAGGTTTGTGTGTAGAGTCCAGGATGGTCTCAGATTGTAGGTGCCCAGGCTTAGCAGGGATGAGGGAGTCCTGAGTCATGGTGAGCTTGTGCAGCAGGATGGAATAGATCCTCTAAATGGATGGTTCCGTGCCTGTCCAGGGCCTCAGTGAGACAAGGGTATCTGGGCATGCTGGGGTTTAAGCTACTCCATCCTGCTGCTGGTGGGATTGAGGCCCAGGATTGACTAGAAGCTAGGGTTCTGGGCCTTCCTAAGGAGGTGTCTGGAAGGGCTTCCTATAGTGAAAGGCCTGACAAGACCTCAGAGAACCCCATCCTGCTCTCCTACCTCTGTGGCTCCTAGAGTTAAACCCAGATTAGCTCCTCAGGTCTGCATTGGCCTGGGCCCCACCTCCTCCTCCACCTGCCAGGACTCACTGTGCTTCAGATATCTTGGCTCCCTTGGCTGAGGCTTTTCCTACCTGTACAACTTGGCAGTCTTTGGCAAGATCTTTTTTCTGGAATGCCCCCACCTGGCTCTTCAAGTGGAGTCAGCACTCAGATGTCTTCAGAGAGACTAGTCCCGTTCCTAACTACTCTCCTGTTTGCGTCTGTCAGCTGCTCTCCCATTGATTGCCTGTCCCCCATTTCATGTAAGCACCACAAGGCTGAGACCTGTGTGAATTAAATCCTAACAAGTAGTTGCCATGAGCTGTGTGTTCTGGACCTTGACCAGAAGTCAAAGACTGGGTGGCTTAGAAACCACAGAAATTTATTTTTCACTGTTCTAGGGGCTGGCTGTCCCAAGATCATAGTCACAGCAGAATCTGTGTCTACTGAGGGCCATGGATGTACCGTTTTACTTTCAGTGGAAGGGGTGTGAGAGTTCCCTGGACCTCTTTGGAAAAGAAACTAATCCTATGCCAAAGGTTCCGTTCCTGTGCCCTGCATGTCTCGGGCCCCACGTTCTAGCACCAGTGTCTAGAGGGTGAGGGTTTGGGGGAGCGCTGACATGACATCATAGCACAGGGTTGGATGTAAGTCGTTTGCTTGTGGATGAATAGTCCATGTCAACAAAGGGAAATAATGTCATGTTTCACCTTAAAGTTTGCTACATGGAAGATGGTAACAACAGCCCTGGTTATATAAGCTAAGCTGTTGCTGTCTCAGAAGACTGTGACTGTAACCTGCCATGGTACTGTGAAACATTTATTTACCCTTTTTTCTGTCGTATAACTCCAAAAATTTATGTGATCTCTGAGGTGACAGTCTTCTATATGCTGTGAGCTGCCCAGTGGCTGAGGGCCTCTAGGTAGCTGCAGGCTTGGGACAGTGACATAAAAAGACAAAGTGACTAAGATTCGAGAATCAGGCCTTTCAGCCCCATCCTCAGGGTTAGGCTGTGTGAAATGAATGGTCACAGCCAGTGGGAGCTGCAGGTCAGGAGCTCCCGTCAGAGCCTGTGGCACTTCAGGCCTGTGTGGGGGTGGCAGCTTCCCACGAGACTGCATCACAGTGGTCAGGCCTGACTCGTCCCATCCAGTGCTGCATTCTGGATGTACCCTCAAATCTGTATGTTAAAACCTGACTCCCAGTGTTAAGAGACCCCAGGGAGACCATTTTCCCCTTCCATCATGTGAGGAGGTGACAGGAAGATGCCACCTGTGAACCAGTGTCCTCACCAGACACCATGTCTGCTGATATTGGATCTTAGACTCCCAGCATCCAGAATCATGAGAAATAAATTTACCTTGTTTGTAAGTTACCCAGGTGGTAGTGTTTTGATACAGCATACAGCATACAAGGTCTCGCTACATAGCTCTGGCTGTTCTGGAACTCACTATGTAGACATTCCTGGTCACGAACTCAGAGATCCTCCTGTCTCTGCCTCCCAAGTGTTAGGATTAAAGACAGATATTATCATTGGCTGGTCAGCATACAAGTTTTTTGTTTGTTTTGTTTTTAATGAGGGAGCTGAGCCCCTCACCTAGCACTCACATCCACATAGTAGCTCTCCTACCAGTGAGTGGATGGATGTGGAGGCTGGAGGGAGACATCACGTGAGATTTTTATTTTAAGGTAGAAGAGTCCTAAGGGCATTTAAAAGTAGGCTCTTGGGGGAGAGAATGGTTCAGTAGAGAGGAAACCCTGGAGTGTCAGTTCCTGCACAGGGGCCGAGGGGTGGGGCCCTAAAGCAGGTAGGCAAGTGTGTACCTGGGAGAGGTAGGAAGAGTCCCTCCCTGGGAGCCAAGGCAGGGTCAGGCAGGGACCTGGCTGCTCTTGTAGGTGGGTGTCTTAGTTACTTTTCTGTTGCTGTGATGAGACATCCTGATCAAGGCAACTTAGAGAAGGAAGTGTATTTGAGGCTCACAGTTTGAGAGGGTGAGGCATGGCCGTCAGAGTAGGAAGCATGGCAGCAGGCGGGTGGGCAAGGCTCTGGAGCAGCCGAGAACTCACATCTGAGACACAGCCACAAGGCAGAGAGAGCCAGCTGGGAATGGTGTGGGCTTTTGAAACCTCAAAGTCCACCCCCAGCAACATACATCTGCCAAGGCCGTACCCCTAATTCTGCCCAAACAGTTCCACCGAGTATTCAGAATCTGAGCCTCTGGGCTGTTCTCGTGTTGGATGAAGACATCATGGCAGTTGTGAGCGAGTTCCCTCTGCCACCTTCAGTTTTCTCTGTTGTCAGTAGGTGCAGTGTCTGCCTAAGGTGTCTGTTTAAGTAGAGCTAGGAGACTTGGGATAGTTAAGTGTTACAGTAAGAAGGCAGGTTGAGAGAGGGTGTGGGGGAGAAGAGAGAGAGGGGTGTGGGAGAGAAGAGAGAGAGGGGTGTTGGTGGTATTTTACTTGTACTGAAATGTGATTTTAATTGTATGTTAATAAATAAAGTTGCCTGGAGATCAGAGCTATTAGAGCCATAGCAAGTGCGTGGCGGCGGTGGCGCACGCCTTTAAGGACCTGGAGGGCTGTACATACAGGCAGTGACAAGGCAGTCACATGTTTGGGTTTACAACCAATGAGAAGGCAGAACAGCTAGAGTATATAAAGACATACACACAGGAAATAGGTCCCTTTCGGAGAGCCCTCTTGCTGAAGAGGATCACTGAATCAGGAAGGGTGAGGCTCTTAGCTCTAACCTCTTGGCTTTCTTCTCTGAATCAGCTCTGTGTGTCTTATTTAATAAGACGGTTGGTTTCATCTACAGATTGGTGTGGGGGGGGAGCGAGAGGAGAGAGTGATCAGAGGCCGAGTAGCCTTCTGGCAGCCCAGAAAAGTTGGTGACACACTGACATACCTCTCTCCTCCGCTATACTCAACCCAGGAGCCCAGGGAAACAGGCTTGATGCAGAGTAGGTAAAGTGGAGGCAGTGGGAAGAGAACTTTGGGTGTTGTCTTGAAGCGGTATGAAAATATAATTGCCACTAAAATGAGGGGAAGCTGAGGGCTCTCTGGGGGACTGTGAGGCAGCAAGGTGGCAGCTACTAGGATACTTTTGTTGTTGTTTTTTAAGATTGATTTATTTTGTTTTTGTGTGTATGAGTGCTTTCCTGTGTGCATGTATGCACCCCATGTGCATCTCTGATGACCACCGCTGCCAGAAAAAAGCATCTGATAGCCTGGAACTTGAGCTAGGAATGGTGACCAGCAAGTGGGTGCTGGGAGTTGAACCCATCTGATAGCCTGGAACTTGAGCTTGGAATGGTGACCAGCAAGTGGGTGCTGGGAGTTGAACCCATCTGATAGCCTGGAACTTGAGCTAGGAATGGTGACCAGCAAGTGGGTGCTGGGAGTTGAGCCCAGGTCCAATACAAGAGCATCTGAGAGTGCTCTTAGCTGCTGAGTCATCTCTCCAGCCCCAAGACTGGGGTTTTTGAGCAAGGATTTCAGAGATAGAGTAATTGCAAGGAGAGAGAGGGCTCTGGTTAGTGGGTCGAATGAAAAGAGAAAAACCACTGGAGAAAGGATTGGCTGTCCATGTTGAATATGGAGACCATGCAAGACCCACCATGTGGCTGGGGTTGGCCTTGTGGCCAGAAGTCCTGAAGAAGAGGACAAAAAGTTAGTCAGGGCCTAGGCGACGAATGTTTGGGACAGAGGGGCTCTCTACCCCAGGACCCCAGGGGAAAGGCTGCGGCGTCAGGTGCACTGCTCAGATGGCCCTGAGGAGCAGGGCCTCCAGCTTCTGCTGATTGGTGTCTCTTTATATGCCAGTTATTTGGGGAGAGGAATGGAGGGGCATACAGAAATTAGAGCTCTTGTCAATTGAGAACTTCAGCTTGTGTTCTCTTGAGAACTGGACTCTGCCCTCTGCACTCTCCTGGCAGTACCGGAGGTGTAGCCTGAGCATTAGCCAATCCATCAGGTCCAGGTGCAGAGGTGGCTTCAACAGTGTGGTAGGTGTGTTTGTTCTCAGTGCCCGTACCACTGAGGAGTCGGCATCCGTGCTTCATCTTTCGGTCCTGATTCCTTCCTGTGTCTTATCAGTTGAGTGTGATGGCAAGAAGTCCTCGAGAATAGAAAAAGTGGCTCTGTTTTCCTGTGTCCCGCTCAGCCTGCAGCAGCTTATAAAATTATCGCTCAGAGGCTTAATATTAATTACAGACTGTTTGGTCTATGGCTCAGGCTTCTTGTTAGTCAGCTCTTTCATCTTAAATTAACCCATTTCTATTAACCTATTTTTGCCATGTTGCTCCTTGGGCGGCAGGCTCACGTCTGCCTGACCCCACTCTCCTCTTTCCCTGTATTCAGTTTGGCTTTCCTGCCTAGCTATGTTCTGCCCTGCCATAGGCCAGAGCAGCTTTATTCATCAGCCAATGAGAACAGCACATACTCACAGCATACAGAAAGACCACCCACAGCATGGCTCTTGCTTTACAGGAACTTTTTTTTGTTCCTTCTTCTGGTGACAAGGAAAACAATTGGTGGCAGTTGTGATGTGTGAGTGTTTTCTGAGACTAAAGAGGTGACAGAGGATGGGTTGCTTCCCTTGGCTGTAAAGAAGCCTGTGGACACAGATGCTGCAGAGCTGGAAAGTTGGGTGAAAGGCTTCCTGCAAACTCATGTCCTGTCCCCATGAGGTTTCTGTATCCGCCACACATTGTTGGCTTGTGGACTCCATGTTTATAGCGGGACTGATTGGTCATTATGCTGCGTTTTTCAGATCATCACATGAAAATGGTAATGAGAGGAAAACCTATCATACAGATAATTACATGTGCTTGTTGATGGGGGAAAACTAAACAGATCCTTGAAAAAGAACTATTGAGCTTAGAAACAATGAAATGACTTAGGCTCTTAGAGAAAAGTAAAAATGAGTGTATTTTCTAATGTCATATTTACTAATGAGTAAATTCTAATGTCATTGCCAGACCGCAGCAACTTTTGGAAGTTGTGACTAGTGACTGTTACCACATTTAACTGATAGTGAAAATTGGATGCGTGTGTGACAGAGCACGTTGTTCTGATGTGTGTGACAGCAGAGTCTGAAGAATGAACCATTGGGTCATTTGCTAAGTGATGTAACATTTGGGCTTTTATTCTGTGGTTAAAATATATGGAGTGTATAAATCCCTGGTGAGAAGGGGCTTTGGGTGTCTGTAGGCTATTCACTCTATTTACAACCATACGTCCAGTTAGGCTGTAAATGGGTGGCATTGCTGAAATAAGAGTGTCTGAGTTAAAGTGCATTGCAGAGACATTTTAAGATTTGTTAAGTGCATTGTATCGTGCTGACAGACGACTTGCTGTTTTATCTGCTTTTCATGCTGCATAAGGATTCTCAGATGATCTGCTGAGGTAAGGAGTGGTAACCAAGGGGATTGGAGATGGTGCACACGAATTCCTGTTGTGATGTGCCAAGCCCAGCTTCAGCAGTTTCCAGCATGCTGCCCGCCTGGCTTTATCCCACTTTAAAGATGCATCTTATGCATTGAGTTGTTCTCCCTAGATGAGCATGCATGTGCTGCACCCAGTGGGGCAGGACTTTGAGAAGAACAGTGCTGTGATTATACCTACCAGGTTGTTTCCCAGAATCATGTGATGTTTATTGTCCCTTAGAACCTCAGAAATGACCCCATTACTTAGAGTAAAACAGAGTCAGGTCCATGTTCAAATGAATTTGCTGCCAGGTGTGGTGGTACGTGCCTTTAATCTCGGCATCTGGGAGGCAGAGGCAGGCAGATCTCTGAGTTTGGGGCCAGCCTAGTCTGTGAAGAGACTTCCAGGACAGCCAGAGCTACATAGAGAGACCCTGTCTTAAAAACAAAAACAAACAAACAAAAAAACGCAAAACAAAACAAAAAACCAGAAACAAAAGGCATGTTTAATGTACATAGCATAGAGTCAGAGTCACACCTGCCGACCTAACGTTCTCAATTGTCTCCTCTTCCCTAAGGTCCTGGACGCCTCATCCCTTAGCTTCAACACCAGATTGAAGTGGTTCGTCATATGCTTTGTTGCTGGCATTTTCTTTTCAATCCTTGTGAGTTAAGGCTTTGTCTGGTTTGATAGTTTATGTTGTGCTAAATGAGTAATTTCATTTAGAACCAACAAAAGTAGCCTGCTTTATCTAAATGTCTCTTAGATTATTTTGATGGAAACAGTGACCTTAAATAAATGTGCAGGGATTAAAGATATGCAGAAATTAATGTTATGGTGATTTGAGGAAAATGTTAAAATTGTATTTAGGACACCAATTTGTGTTAAAACTGGACAGTCAGTAATTTAGATGTGTTTTATTAAGCCTGTTTTAACTTGGCATTCAAACGAATACTTAGTTTCAGACCATTTACTGACAGTGTGGAGTCACATTTATGTACGCTGGTTCAAGAGACTGTGGTCCCTCACCTGTGTTTAGTCGTGTATTGTATAGTACTCAGGATCAACTGCTGTAGAAGCACTTTCAAGTTTTAGGCTGTTAAGATCGCATTGTTATTAACTAACTCTAATTTCTGCTCTAGGGAACTGGTTTGCTGTGGCTTCCCAATGGCATAAAACTCTTTGCAGTATTTTACACCCTTGGCAACCTTGCTGCGCTGGCCAGGTGTGTGTACTTTGGCTTCTCAAAATGCCTTGTTTGTTGTTGGTACCAGATTTCCTTTCTAATAAGTTCTTTGTAGGTAGCATGTTTCTGTTGATTTTTTTCTCCCTGAGACAGGATTTCTTTGTGTAGCCTTGGCTGTCCGGAACTCCTCTGTAGAACAGAATGTCCTTGAACTCACAGAGATCCTCCTGCCTCTACCTCCAGTGCTGGAATTAAAGGCGTGCACCACCACTGCGTGGCTGTTTACTGTTTATAAATGTCAATTCCACAGCAAAGTTTATGTTCATTCTGTAATGCTGTTGTATGACTGAGTACCAGGGATGCCACATGGCCAGTAGTGTGTTTGGGGAGCATAGAGAGCGACCCTCACACGTTGAGGCTAGATCCTAGCCTGGGGTGTTCTCCAGAGCTACCCTCAGTCCTGGCTCTTGTGGAGCTAAGGTTTTGTGAGGAAGCGCTCATACGGGAAGCTGTGGGTGCAGTGCAGAGACCTGAGGGTGGTAAGCCGCAGGGACTAGGAACTGTTGGGGTGGGCGCTGGTGTGTCTGAGACTATTGCTGTGTCGTGATGAGTAAAATGTCCTAGTCCAGTCTGTTTGTGTTGCCTTAACAATACCACAGACTGTAAGAACAGATGTGTCTCTCACATTTCTACAAGATCAGGGCCTCCGTTATCCGCTGAGGGCTGCACCCTGTATCCTTGAGGGGTTGCATGCAATATTGTGTTTGAAGGGTCACCTCAGGGCCTTGCTTCCACCCAGGTGACCTCTTCACCCCTTCACACTGTCATACCAGTGTTACATTAAGGCCATGGCATGTCCTGAAGTGTCCTTTCAAAGTTAAGGGCGGAAAAAACCACACGTGGTGGACATGCATGTAACAGCCATCCTCTGGAGAAGAAAGCAGAAAATCACAAAGTCTAGCCATCCTGGACTGTGTAGCTAGACCTTGTCTCAAAATGACAACAAAAATGAAAAGAAATAAGGAGGCTGAGGCAGGAGAATTGTGAGTTTATGGCTAGCTCAGGCTACATAGAAAGACCCTGTCTCCAAGTAACAACAAAAATTAAGTTAGGCGAGAAAGTCTCCAGCACAGGAGACTGAGGCAGGAGTGTGCGGTGTTTAAGGCCAGCCTGGGCATTGTCCCAAACAACAACAAAGACAACAGACCCACAGAAAAGTAAGGAAGAAGTAGAACAGCTCACACAGTTTAGTTTATAGCAATTTTCTGTTTGCATAGCCAGACTAGAGCCGTCTCTTACTTGTCTTGAATAGTACGTGCTTCTTAATGGGACCCGTGAAGCAGCTGAAGAAAATGTTTGAAACGACAAGACTGCTTGCCACAATTATTATGCTTGTAAGTAAATAATGTTAATTTTATAAACTTACTGAAGTCTTTTCTACATTATTGCTGTACCTGTTCATGTGTGTGTTACTCTTGCAATGTTTTCAAGGCCGTGTGAGTGAAGAGTTTGACTTGTACAGTGCTGTCTGATGTGATTGGCTGGGTGGTGCCCCCTTCCTGTTGCATGCTTGCTGTATGGCTGGGAGCAGTCAGGGAAAGCAGAGCTGGTTGTGTTTTCATTTACGTCTGTGGGGATGTCTGCTCTTCCGGGGGTAGGAGGGAAGGTGGACCACTTCAGAATCCGTCGGCTCTTCTCAGGAAGAAGCAGACTTCTGACTGTTGGCTTCTGTCTCCTCCTGTTTGCTGACTTGGCTCTTGGGATGGTGTTGCGTCTCACCGTGGCTGTTGCTCAGTGAAAGCTTGCACCACCCCACATGGCGAGGGTCTTGGGGTGCATTAGTTGGTGGGTGTTTGGTGTAGAGTGGGCAGGGAACCCAGGCTCACATCCCCCCTCGCATCTTCCCTTCCCGGTCCACTTGGTCCTGATGTTGGGTTCTTAGAACATTTGCGATGCTTAAAGAAGTCAAGTTCCAGCATTAGCGGGTCGTTTCTTTTCTCCTTTAGGAGTAGCTTTTAAAACACAAGCAACCTCTATTACTTTCTGGATACAGGATATTTATTTAACTAGTTTGTCGTTCTGTCAGCTTGAACTCAGTTTGGCTTAATTATATTTTTTGTCTTTATTCAACTTCAGTTTTATTTCCATTTTTACATCTCTGGTGATTGAGTTTCCTAGATTCACCTGTATCAGCCCATGTATTTACGTTTAACTTGATCGACTTTAAACTACGAGAAGCCCATGTTGCTCTCGTACTGTGCTTAGGGTTGCTTTATTGGTGATGTCTTGGCACTTAGGCTTTTTAGTAATGTACCTCACACACATGTTCAGTTGCTAACTGTTAGAATGCTGAAAGTGTAAAGCATCTCTTCGGGCCCTGGCTGTTTCCATGGCCCTCCCTGGCAGTGCGTGGGTCATGTCCTTTCCAGGGAATGTTGAACCTGAGCCGAGTTCCTGCACGCACAGATTCTGCCTCATAGTAATGGTGAAGACAAGCCACTGCCCCAGTGCAGAGCAGCGGCAGCCCGTGAAGCAGTGGGCGGATGCCCTCCCTCTTGTTAGAGGAGAGCTGAGCCCTAGGCAGACCCTAAGCAAGCTCTGGCCTCTGAGCTGACTAGGGGAGACTGGGATCCCATCAGGCCCCCCTCACTGGGACTCCCACTTGAGTTCTCCCTAGCCTGCCCAGGTGGCATGGCTGTGCAGCAGGGTGTGTGTCCCTGTGTGACACATGGTCCCACACTGTGAAGTGAGCATGGTGGAGCACGCTGAGGCAGTCGGCACTGCTGGTCACAGCTGTTGCAGGCATCGACCCAAGAGCCATAGGACGGCCTCTTTGTCCTAACCCTCACTCTTCAGAGTTGTTCCCTTCACGTAACCAGCACGTTGTTTGTGCTTCCGTTTGCTGGAGCCGGGGAAGCTGCTGTGACAGGCTTAGGGTGACAACAGAGTCCACCGTCTCACTTACCCCATAATATGCTATCTGGGCAATGAATGCAGGGGGTTTGTGCCTTTTTGTTGGGCCCCTGAAGAGCCTCAGATTGCTCATTAACTCTTTCCTTCCCTATAGCTCTGCTTCGTGTGTACCCTGTGCGCTGCTCTGTGGGTAAGTTATGTCAGTCATGCTGGCTTTCTGCTAACAGTCCCCACCCCACCATCATTTAGAATATCTCAGAGTTCAGTTTCATCAACCCTCCAGAGAATCGGTGTCCCTGAAACAAGGCTGGAGACTCTGCTGTTTACAACCTACACAGAAGTTGTTCAGTGTAGGTCCCTGTGAGAACCCTCGTGCTCTGACAGCAGCATCCTAGCCTGGGAAGAGCCTCGGAAAGGCCCTGTCCTCTGCTTTGCCTGCTGCAGACTCTGTGGCTCGGAGTGAAGCAGCAGTGCCATGGGGCAGACTGGAAGCAGAAGACTCTCTGTCAGGGCCGGGTGATGTGCTGGTGATGGGAGGCAGAGGCAGCAGATCTGGAGTTTGGGCCGCTAGGGGTTTCACTGCTGTGGGTGTGCACAGTGCACAGGTGAAGTCAGAAGACAACTTGCAAGAGTCAGGGTTCTCTTTCCAGCGTGTGGGTGCCAGGGATTAAACTCAGGTCATCAGGCTTGGCAAGCATGCACCTTACCCACTGGTTTGTCTTGATGACCCCTCCTTAAGGGGCAGGGGATAGGCATGTAGCTCAGGGGTAGAGCACTTGCCCAGCTGGAGGCAAGTCCTGGATTTGATCCTCAGCACTGCCCACCCTCTTCCCCCAGAAGACTAGGCATTCTCCAGTCAGTTATCTTAGAGCGCTGCAGGAACCCCAGATTACCCCAGGAAACTGCAGCAGCGTACCTGTCCTTTAAAACACCCCAAGAAGCCAGGTGTGATGTGCATGCCTGTACTCCCAGCACATGGGAGGCTGAGGCAGGGGGGTTGTTGAAAGTTCAAGGCCAGCCTGGGCTGTGTAGCACAAACACCTCCAAAAACCAAAAAATCTTGAGAAGCAGCAGGGATGCATAAGTAAAATTTGTATGGCGTTTTAAATGTTGGTTCTAGCAAAGGTTACATCAGTTTATAGTTGTGTCCTTGAGAGGTTCCTCTTTCCAGCCTGTGCACAACTGTAGGTCACCTGATGCTGTGTACTTCATAGCATGTACGATAATAGAGACGGCATTGGGAAGGAAATGTACTTTCATGGGTGATGCTCAGGTTCTCAAATACATAGGGATAACATTTAACAAACAGGGCTGTCCATTTTAAAGGGAAGACTTGAACCTGTTTATAATGATAGTGTTTAAAATCCTATGTGCTGTTTGTTGCTAGTGGCGGAAGAAGGGGCTGGCCTTACTCTTCTGCATATTGCAGTTCCTGTCGATGACCTGGTAAGTCTCCTTCTACCAGCCCTAGAAAAGGGGGTCAGAGGCCCGTGCCTGAGAGCCAGGCTCCTGCACAGTCAGGTGGGATGAGGCCCATTCTGGATGGTGTGCCTCACTGGTCCTTCCAGAGAGAGCTGGGGCGGTCGTGTGCACGAGCCGTGGAGGTGGGCTAGTGGAGGAGGAGAGCTGATTGGAGATGTAGACAAAGACACTTGAGTTCTAACGGGAGGAGAAGCACAGGGTGAGCCTGGGGGGTCGGGTGCCTTAGGCATTCTACTCTTTGTTGCTGTGTGACCCTTCCAGTCAGACCTCCGCCTTACAGCCCTGTGTGTCTTACTCTGCTCCTCACCTCTCTCCCTGTCAGGCATGTTTCCCTTGCTTGCCTCCTAGTGGTTGCAACCCTTCCCAACGCCTGTCACCAGCTGGACCCCGCTCTTCTTTTGGCTCTGTTCCTACCTTACCACTGAGATGTCACATCAGATTCACCGTGTAGTGTTCCTTGTCTCTTCCTTCAAGTGTGAAGAACCTAAGCTAAACCGCACAGGCTACTCTCTTAAGACTGTGCCTTCTGTCTCATGTGTGCTTGGTTGGCTTTTCTCCAGGAAGTTGTCACCAGTTCTTAGTGGTGTTAGCGTCTGCTGGAAGGATGAGAGGTTAACCTCCGCAGAGAGCATCAGCATCACTGCACGTTTACTAAAACATTATCAGTTGTGGGTGGAGCTCAGCGGGAGAGGACCTGGTTCCATCCCCAGCCCAGCAAACCAGAACCCCACAAACTCCTGGTTGATTATTGCCTGAGACTGGAGTCACAGTTTGAAAACCGCTGTCCTGTGTTCCGCTGCTGAGGTGGCTGCGTAGTAGATGCGGCCAGTGGGAATGGGGGCTGTGGTGTAGAAGTGTCAACATCTGGACTTTCTCTTGCAGGTACAGTCTGTCCTACATCCCATATGCAAGGTGAGCTCCTCTGATTTCCATCTTATTCCTTCTGGACGTGAGTTCAAATAAATTCTCACATTAAGATATTGATGGCTGGACATAGTGGCTCATACCTTTAACCCCACTTTTGTGAGTTCAAGGCCTAGCTGGTCTACACAGTGAGCACCAAGCCAGTGAGGACTCCGTGGTGAGACCCTGTCATAACAGCAAATATGTAGGAGGTTTTTAATTAACTTTTATTCATTGCTTTAAGAACGTTATTTTTAAGTATGATTTTAAAAAGCTTGGCATATGAACTCCTTCAGGTGAACATCCTGATACATGTAGCAGATGGAGGGGTGCTTGTTTCTGCCTTGCTGTGTGAACACTAACAGGGACTTTGAAAAAGAAATCTGCATCTTTCTGTTTAGTAACTGAGAGCCCAGACTCCAGCAAGGCTAATTCTATTTTGGAAAATAATGGGGAAGTTATGGGGAATCAAGGCGTAGTACAGTAATGTTCTCAGCCAGCAGGATGCTCACCAGGTGTGATAGGTGGACATCCTCACCCACAGAAGCCTTTGTAGTCTACCTTGCTGATTCTGCATGCTCTTCTAGAGAAACAGAGTGACTTAGTTGTGGAAGAAAAGCATGCCTTAATTCCAACCTTAAACCTGATAGATTTGGGGGAAAAATGATCTGGTGAGGTAGGACTTTGTCTCTGTGGAATTTGAAGACACCTTATATATTAAAAAACCAGCAGAATTATATACCTAATATGAACAATGGAAGAAAATCTGTTTTTATTCTATTTCTCATTATGATTGTTTTTGAAAAAAAATTAAAAGGAGAAAAAGCAAAGCAGTGTGAACTGCAGAAGGAGGCTTTGAGTCAAGAGCAGAGGAAACTTACCCAGCTGGAGTTACTAGCTGGGCTCAGTTAGGAGGATCCAGTGTTTTCAGTGTGGAGGGACGGTCATTGACACACACACACACTGTCCTTTCACATCCAAGTCAAGGCTCTCCGAGGGCACAGCTGCTAGAGAATGACCTCGTGCCCCACAAGTGAAGGCTCCTGGATTGGAGCCTCAGGCAGCATGAAGAAGACATTTCACATTTTATTAGTGGGTTTTTTGATCAGTAAGGTGGTTTTTTAATTTTAAGCACATTGTGTAATGGTTCAGACACTGAGAGAAGAAAACGTGAAAGCCGAAGGTTATCACATTATTTTGGGGATGCTTAGAATGCAATTAAACATTCTACCTTAAAAATCAGACTCACTGTCTACTTTCTGGATTCTGGAGCAAGCGGCTTTGCTCACACTTGCCCCACCGCGATGCCCCGCCACTGTCTGGCCAGACCCAAACCTGGGAAGGTCTTGAACAAAGACTGAAATAGCCAGATTCCGCACAGGAGAGAGCACAGTGTAGCTCTTAACACCGTAAAACACTGTAAAAACACTCCAGCCAACAGCGACCTAGGGGAGGAGAGGGCGTATTTGACTTACACTCCTGGGTCACAGCCCATCATAAGAGAAGTCAGGGCAGGAACTCAAGCAGGAACTTGAAACAGAAACCATGGGGGATCATGATTACTGGCTTACTTGGAGACTTAGGCTTAGCCAGCTTTCTTGCAAGGCTCAGGACCACTTCCCAGGGACTGGAACTGTCCACAGTGGGCTGAGCCCTTCTCTACCAATTAATAATCAAAACAGTCCCCCACAGACTTGCCCACAGGCCAGTCTGATTGGAGCAACCCCTCAGTTGAGAGTCCCTGGTAATTCTAGAGTGTGTTAGGTTGACAGTTCAACTTGTTTTCCAGCAAGCAGCAGGATTCTTCTGTTCTTCTCTATGGCTGGAGAGACGGTTCAGGGGTGTTTGCTGTTCCCCTAGAGGGCCAAACCATCCATGGTTAGGTGGCTCCTAACTGCCTGTAGCTCCAGAGCCGAGGGATCTGTTTTTCTTTTTTGGACTTTGCAGCCACCCCACACTCATGGCAAAAACTCACATAAACACATACAACACACAGAAAAATAAATCTTAAAAAAAACAAAAAACAGCCGGGCGGTGGTGGCGCACGCCTTTAATCCCAGCACTCGGGAGGCAGAACCAGGTGGATCTCTGTGAGTTCGAGGCCAGCCTGAACTACCAAGTGAGTTCCAGGAAAGGCGCAAAGCTACACAGAGAAACCCTGTCTCGAAAAACCAAAAAAAAAAAACAAAACAAAAAAAAACAAAAAAAAAAACAAAAAACAAAAAAACTTCCACTGTGTATGTACACCATATTTTCTTCATTCACACCCACTGTTGGACATGTCTAGGCTGATTACATGCTAGTAAAAATTCCTGTGATAAATACCTTTTCAAAAATCAGCAAAAATACTTTAAAAGCACTTGCAAGTATTTTAAGTGATTCCCAGCAAAGTTTTGATTCCTTGGGAATGTGCACGCTCACTGCATTTTCTTTCCCTCGGCTAGTGTGTGGAGGGCCCTGCTGGTCCCCGCACACTGCTCCTGGCTAGTGTGTGGAGGGCTGCTGGTCCCCGCACACTGCTCCTGGCTAGTGTGTGGAGCTCTGCTGGTCCCCGCACACTGCTCCTGGCTAGTGTGTGGAGCTCTGCTGGTCCCCGCACACTGCTCCTCCTCGGCTAGTGTGTGGAGCTCTGCTGGTCCCCGCACACCGCTCCTCTGGAATGTGCACATTCACTGCTTTTTCTCTCTCCCTCAGGGACGCGGTGCTCAAGTGCTGCTCCTCGATCTTCAGTTGAAAGTTGCATCTGCTCAGCCGGCAGAAGTGCTTAGGAATGGTGCTGATGTTGTGCCTACACAGTGATCACTCCAGAGACGGCGGCAGCCTCAGACCATGCCCTGTACTGGTGAACTGCGCTTGCATAGCCCTCATTCCCTGCCATTAACCTGTTCTTCCAGAGACAAGGAGATAATAATCATTGCCACTTGTAAATAATCTTGCTCAGTTTTTAATCTTCACAGACAGCTTTTGAAATGTGAATATTTAAGGTATAAACCTGTGTTGTAAGATATATCCAGCTTATTTGGCTTTTTAGATGGTCTACAATTTAAAATTTTTTTTAACTTTAAAAATGTGAAATTTTATATACTTTAAGCTTAAAATTACTTATTACATGTAATAAAAAGTAATATATGTATCTTTACGGTTTGAAATAAACCTGCTCCTACAAATGTACCATTTTCTGGATCAACTTTATTATACTTTAAGTAGCTTAGCTCATTGAAGTTCAGCTCGGGCTCTGTGTAAGGTGCAGCTGCTGCTTGTGAGAAGTGACAGACTGGGGTGTCACAGGGACTGGAAACCAGCCAGGCACAAGTCCAGGGACCAGACATGCATATTTTTTTTTTTTTTTTTTTTGGTTTTTTCGAGACAGGGTTTCTCTGTGTAGCTTTGCGCCTTTCCTGGATCTCGCGCTGTAGACCAGGCTGGCCTCGAACTCACAGAGATCCACCTGCCTCTGCCTCCCGAGTGCTGGGATTAAAGGCGTGCGCCACCACCGCCCGGCCAGACATGCATATTTTTAACCCCAGCTGTCAGGAGACCAGGTGGATCTCTGAGTTCAAGACTAGCCAGAGCTACACGGTGAGACTGTTTCAAAACAAAACAAACAACCCCATCCCCCCCCCCAAAAAAAAAAACCAAAAATGGTCCAAGGAGGGATGTGAGGGCTGCTGGTCAGAAGGGTGGCCCAGAGCTGGCAAGGATAGGGTACTGCTGTCATTGGAAGGTAAGGATGGGGAGGAGGAGGAAGGGGTTTAGTCATCACAAAGACGGAGGGGAGGGGCGCAACAGGGTATGAGGAAGCAATGGCTGGGTGCTGTCTCCTTCAGGTCCCCATGGGCTGGCGGTAGCCCCGTCAGTGGCAGCAGGAGTCCATTTGTGGGGACAGGGTGAGTAGGCACACACCAGAATGTGCGGCTCAGGCAGGTACAAATGAAGAGGTAAGGTGGCTTGTGCTCGTGTTGTTAGCCTGGTGGGTGGGGCAGCAGGTGTGTATGGAGATGAGTCCATAGGACAGGGTGGAGAAGGCAGGGCATTGTGAGCAATTCACACTGCTCAGTGTTTCAGAGTACAGAAATGGTGGGAGGGGACAGGCAGCTGGGGCACTCAGGAACTGTGGCCTTGGGGGGATAGAGAAATGACTGATCGAGGGCACATGCTGCTCTCCAGAGACCTGAGCTCAATTCCTAACACCCACGTGGTGGCTCACAACCATCTTCAACTCTAGTTCCAGAGCCTCCTTCTGGCCTCCAGCAGCACCACATCACATGGTGACCAGACATACACATAAGCAAAACACTCATACACATAAAAGTAAATATTTAAGATAAGCCTGCAGAATGAGGGTTCTGCCCAGCCTGGAGCCTCTTTGGAGCTATGCTGCACCTTGGTGCCAGGTATAACAGACATCGCCTGCCCTACAGAGGCCTGGGTACCATGACAAAGTGTACGATTCACAGGGGTTCTGCCCTGTCGCAGGTGTGCTGCGCTGCTCAGCACCTGCCCGGTGTGATGATCCCACCTGCTGAGAGGAGCAGAGTGCAGACAGAAGCTCTCTGAGGACAGTTCACACCTGACAGTGGAGGGGGAGCAGAGTGCAGACAGAAGCTCACTGAGGACAGTTCACACCTGACAGTGGAGGGGGAGCAGAGTACAGACAGAAGCTCTCTGAGGACAGTTCACACTGACAGTGGAGGGGGAGCAGAGTGCAGACAGAAGCTCACTGAGGACAGTTCACACCTGACAGTGGAGGGGGAGCAGAGTGCAGACAGCAGCACACTGAGGACAGTTCACACCTGACAGTGGAGGGGGAGCAGAGTGCAGACAGAAGCTCACTGAGGACAGTTCACACCTGACAGTGGAGGGGGAGCAGAGTGCAGACAGAAGCTCACTGAGGACAGTTCACACCTGACAGTGGAGAGGAGCAGAGTGCAGACAGAAGCTCTCTGAGGACAGTTCACACCTGACAGTGGAGGGGGAGCAGAGTGCAGACAGAAGCTCTCTGAGGACAGTTCACACCTGACAGTGGAGGGGGAGCAGAGTGCAGACAGCAGCACACTGAGGACAGTTCACACCTGACAGTGGAGAGGAGCAGAGTGCAGACAGCAGCACACTGAGGACAGTTCACACCTGACAGTGGAGGGGGAGCAGAGTGCAGACAGCAGCACACTGAGGACAGTTCACACCTGACAGTGGAGGGGGAGCAAAGTGCAGACAGAAGCACACTGAAGACATGTGCCATGCTCCCTCCAGGTTCTTGGCTCTTCTAAAGTGCCTATCCTGTCCAGTGGGCCAGATTCTAGGAGAGGTGGCCACACCTGACTGTACATTTTACCATGCTGCTCCTTTGAATCATCTGGTTCTGCTTCTCCAGATATGGGAGCCATAGCTTCTGAAGAAAGCAGAATTGGGGATTCCCCCTTGAAAAGTGTCTCCAAGTAGACTTTAAAATTCAGGTGCTGTCCCCTCACTTTGTGCCATGTGTTGACTGGGTATAGCCAGTCCCAAGAAAAGGGCCGTTGGAAAAGCTGGATCCAGGTAGCCTAGCTAGCAGACCCTGAAGTTCTTCCTTTGAGAGGATCGGGGTGGCTCACAGCAACACTCTGTGGGAGCTGAGTGCTGGCTCAGGTCCCAGGGCAACATGAGCAACTTCGGGCAAAAATGTCCGCCTTAGGGTGCAGACTGGCCCTAGAACGGAGAAGTGGGTTCCTAAATCAGCTCAAGTGGAGAGATGCATGGAAGGCAGGGTTTTGCCTTTGCTGGGATCTCGGGTCTTCCCAGGTAAGAGAGGATGGGCCCTCAGTCCTGGGCCAGACGGCAGCAGCGGTAGCAGCCTGCACAGGCATTGCAAGACATGGGCCTGGTGCTGGAAAGGATTCGTAGGGCATCGGGGGCAGGGGTGATGTGGAAACCTAGTGCAGTAGAAACTCCAGGACTCCATGAGGGGGACCCCAGCAAGGACTCCTAGTAATGGAGGATATGGAGTCTGAACCAGCCATCTTCTGTAACCAGGCAAGGCCTCCAGTGGTGGGAGTGGGACTAACCCAGCCACAAAACCTTCAACCTATAGTCTATCCTGCCTGCAAGATGTGCTGGGGCAATGGAGGCGCAGAACTTGTGGGAGTGGCTAGACAGAATGGTCTAATTTGAGGATCATGCCACAAGAGGGAGCCCATGCTGGACACTATCTGGATGACCAGGAACCAGAGGCTGGATAACCCAGAGAGCTAGGATTAAAAAAAAAAAAAAAAATCACTGAAATGATGGTTAATGATACTCATAGATCGGTGCCTAACCCAGTCGTCATCAGAGAGACTCACAGCCAAACGTGAGGCGGAGAGAGAGCCCAAATTGGAGATCTCCATCAGGCCCTTCCCCTTGGAGCTCGGGGAACCTCGTGGAAGAGGGGGAGCAAGAATTGTAGGAGCCAGAGGGTCGAGGTCACCAGGAGAATTCAGCTCATAGAATCAGCTAAGCAGGGCTCTTAGGGGCTCACAGAGACTGAAGCGGCACCCACACAGCCTGCACGGGTCTGTGCTGGGTCCTCTGCACACACCTTGTAGCTATTAGCTTGGCCTCGTGGGACTCCTTACAGCGGGAGTGGGGGTCTCTGACTCCCCGCTCTTGGGATCCTCCTACTGGGCTGCCTCGACCAGCCTTGATATGAGGGTTTGTGCCTTGTCTTATTGTATCTTATGACGTGTCCGGTTGATATCCCGGCGAGGCCTGCTCTTTTCTCAAGGGAAACAAGAGTGAATCTGGGTGGGTGAGAGGGACTGGGAGGCATGGAGGGAGGGGAAACTTCGGTCAGATGTGTTGAAAACAAAAAAAATAAGGGGAAAAAAAGGTTGGTGAGTGCCGGTGTGGGGAGGAGGGGAACCGGGCATACATGCCCTGCAGTGCTGGGCAGGGGCAGCAGTTGCAGCTGGTGACTGGGACACTGAGATTCAGATAGATCCAGTTTAGCCTTCCGTTTTCAGCCCCGAACCTGAAGGAGAGTTTGGAGGACTGTTGGTGGGAGGGACGGAGGACAGACAGATTCTGTGTCCTCTGTGGGAGGGAGGGGACAGGTGGGCTGCAGTGCCTGAGGGCACAGCTGTTGTGGAGTGAGCGTTGTGAGGCAGGCTGTTAGGTAATCCGGTCAGCGCTCCGGAGACGTGTTTCTTTCTGGCTTCTGAACGCCAGGGTCAGACCTTAGTGTGGGCACAGATGATCTGTCCCACCTGCTTGTCTCACTCAGTGTCCTGCAGCCCTCCTTCCGTGCTGTGGAGCTAATTCCTCAGCATAAGCCGGGGTCACACCTGGCGGTGCACACAGCATATCCCAACCCTCTTGTCTTCTGGTCAGCTAACATCAGTTTACACAAGAAAGGCGTCTCCTCAGAGAAAACCCATGGCAGGGCCCACATCAGGAAAATGGGTGCTGTAGACAGGCCTTGAGGGACTTCATGACCCACTGCCTTGCCTCTATATTGCAGAATTTGTGTGTGTGTGTGTGTGTGTGTGTGTGTGTGTGTGTGTGTGTGTGTGTGTGTCCCATTGCCTTTCCAGATCCTCAAAGGGTTACAAGTGTGGCCTCTGTGCGTAGCACCTGGGACATGCATGTCATAAGAAGGTTATCTGGAGCCGAGGTAGGTGGCCCTCACTAGGATTGTCTGCACTCCACAGCCATATAGAGATTTGAGCAATGTAAAGGTGTGGGATGATAGATCCATAACCTCAGCCTCAGTTGACTCCACAGGATGGCTGGCAAGAGTGAATGAGTGATAGAGCCTGGTAGGCAGCACTCAGTACATAGACCATTCAAAAAGGGGCCAGGCATCTGTGGGAGGAGCCTGAAGTTAAAGGCAGAGAAAGCTCTTACCTTACCACTGAGCCTGGGATGCAGTGCCTTGGGGTCTGAGTGCTCCCAGGATGAGCCACTTCCTGACTGAGCAGGTCCAGGATCCAGGTCAGGTTATCGGTACAACCTCTGTCAGCCTGACAGTCCAGTGTTCTTTATACCACACTGGTGGCAGATGACAGTCATGGTGAATGTGGCTTGTGGCAGCTTCTCATCCTGGGGCATCGAGTGTAACGTCAGTGTCAGGAGCTGGATGTATGCAACAGGGACCAGTGCTGTGGCAGCTTAGGTTTCCAGCAGTCCCAGGAGTAGGGCTGGCAGGATTCTGGAGA